AGCTTTGCAAAAACTGCATAAAAAGCGCTTGCAGCAACAACAACATAATATTCCAGAAACACGCTTTGCCGAGCCGATCAGCTGTTCATAACACTTCCTACGTGTTATGAACAGCGAACTAGCTCATGTCCGCCATTACCTGCCCGAAACAGGAATTGACGCCATCTTGTGGTTTTTTTTTTGTTTTTACCTTCAGCGCCTTTTAAGCCTATACTGGTGTTTTTTAAAGCCATGTTTGACTTCATGCTTTTATGTATAGTTTCTGGGATGCTTAGAACTCATATTGCACTGCTGAAAATAGTTTATTTTGATGCACATGCTGTTTTATTGCAAATTTGCAGTATAATATTTATTTTCGTTTTTAATGCAGTATATAAAAATTGGTGTATCTCAAAAATAAAACTATGAAGACTCTCAATAAAAAATGTCCTGTGGTGGGAAACTATTTTGTGCAATTTTTTGTATTTACAGTTTTGAGGGATAAGCTTCTTAAATTTCTCTAACTAGAAATATATGTTAAAAAACAAAAACGATTTTAAATTGTTTTGTAGTTTAATGCACTTTTTTGCAATCTATGTAGTTACTATGGACTTAATCTTAAACATCTTAAACAGATGTTTTTGAAACACTGCTGCTTAATTATAGTGTTTATGGTACATAGTAAATTGTTTCCTTTTCTTCTTGGACTTGCCGTGTACACCTTAATAAAACACTATTGTTTAGAAGTTATAGTTTGTTTTTATAAATACAGCTTTACAGTTTACAGTTCAACATACTGCATGTTTTATTGTCTTATATGATTTATAGAATTAACATGTTCAACTGGAATCTTTCTGGGTGACATTTGAAACTTTTCCCTGTTTCTGTGTGCATATTAAGTTAATTGGTGATTCTCCCTCTGTATTTTAGCATATTCATTAAACACAAAGAGAGAAAAAAAATTCAAGTAAAATAAAGATTTGACTTCTTAGATGTTAATCAAGTGAGTTTCTTCTGAATCTCTTCTATTTTGTTCTAAAGAAACAAAATTAAATCTTCTATGATAAAATTCACTCAAAATGCATGTCTTGTTAAACTGTATATAGTATAAATTTAAAGCAAAAAAAAATAAAATAGAAATATCAGGCATCACATTGCAAAAAGACAGCACTGACAAAAATAACCCATGTTTTATTTGTTGTGTTACTCTGTCCTTCGCTGATTAATAAAAGGAGAGACACTAAAGACACTGGGAACGTAAATTGAACACAACACGACAGTTTGTACGTGTGACTTTAGCAAGAAATATGTTAAAGAAAACTTACACACCTGTTCTTTGTTTCTCGCTTGTTTCTCTGACAGTTTCTCCTAAATCGCTTTCATTTCTTTATTTCTCTCTCAAGTGTTTAATAATTTGTTCCTTGTCTTTTTCTAGCTCTCCCTTTCTTTCTGTCATTTGGATTATAATGTTCTCCGTTTCCTCCATTAGCTTTTCTGTCATCTTTAACAGTCCATCATGTACTTCTATTCTAATTTCCAGGTCAATTTTTTTATCTTCACGCTTATTCTTTTTTTTCTCTTTGTCAAGTAATTGGGTTTCTGTCTCTTTTTTTGTGATCTCTTTCATCCCTGCCTTGTCCTCCTGCAGTAGTGTGTTGAGTTTTTCGCTCTGCTTCTTCAGAGATGTCTTCTGCTCCATCAGTTTTTCAATGGTTTGTCTGACATGTTTTAAGTCGTCCTCATTGTTCTGCAACTCCTCTTCAAGCCTCTTCAAGTTTTCCTCACATTCTTTCTGTAATTTTTCCTCCATCTCTGTTTGATGTAGTTCATTTTCATCCTCATCATGTATGCTGATTTCTGTGTGAATAAAAATG